TTGGAGTGATCTGCAGCTTTGAAATGGTGCTGCTTCAAGTGAAGTAGTGCGATTTCCAAGTTGCATTCAGTGTGAACCATGGCTAAGGTTTGCACTTCAGCAATCAGATCACCATTTCAAAGTTGCCAGAAAGTCTCGCTATTTTTTGTTGCATTGACAGCAAATACAAAGTCATTTATAGCTGAGCATTAGCTTTACCTTCAGTCCTGCACAGCTGGCAGCAGAATATGGTGCCAATGAGCGCACGGCGGGGTGTATGTTGGAGCCGGTCTCCCAGGCAGCAGAATCAATTCAATCTATACAAGGCCACCAGAAAGATCTCAGACTATTCAAAGGTATGCAAGGCTTTACCTTCAGTCTTGCACAGTTGTCAGGCCCTCTCTTGTTCTGAAACTGCTTACTCTGATTTCATGGCACACTGTGAGCTTCTCACAATGTACATTAGAAGCTGCAGCAAATCAGAGAGAGCTCATCTCATTTCCTGGCTGGAGTACAACCAGCGTCATCTACCCCTTTCCTCTGGCCTGCCCCTTTCTTCCATTGAATTTCAATTCTTTCAATCATGGAGGCTCAGCATTACAGGTGAGCATTATCTAGGGTGGTCGTAATGCAAATACAGCCTGCCTAGGATTGCCTGCTCCTCCAGATTGACACCAATCCATCAAGGCTTTTTGATATTTGCATAACTCATCCCATGAGCAACTCACTGCTGAAGGTTCCTGGGAGGAGAACTGAAAATACTGAGCTGTTTTTGGGAAGCTCTGTATAGCTATCCCCACCAGCCAGGATCTGCCTGCATTGCATGGAGAAGCACAGAGACCTGGTGGTGGTGTCACTGGGTATAAAATACCAAATTGATGTTGATAGGACAGAAAAGAGGAACCAGGAAAGGCAAAATATAGGCAGAAGAGTGGCTTCAAAACAATCTGGTCTCCTGCATTTTTCCGTGTGTCCCCATAGCATGCCACTTGCTACGGAGGCACACAGTGTATGCTTGCTCCTGAGCTATGTGTCACTATGGAGTAGTGTCCCATAGACACACACATCAGGGCTCGGCCCTGCACCTGACCCTGATCGATCATTTGATTGACAGCAGCAGGAGCCAATGGCTGCTGCTCGAGTCCTGTGTGAAGAAGAAAAGAGGAGAGAAGAGATGCAGCCATACTGACATAAGAGATGTAGTGCTGGATCTACTCTCCCCTCTCTTCCTCTCCACAGAGGGAAGGGGGAGGACAGCAAGCTTTAACATGTTTTTACCTTAATGCAAGGAATGCATTAAGGAAAAAAAAAGTTTGGGCTTTAGAACCACTTTAAAAAAGAAGTATGGCCAACACTTTTTTGGTCTTACTGTACTTCTTTTACGGATCACAGGAGTGCTCTTATTTGAGCTCTCATGTGAACTAGAATCAGAAGACATAGGGCCAAAGTCCACTGCTGGCTGATGTCACAGAGATAGACCAGGCTCTGGAACAATTCCAGCAATAATGATGTCAGGATCCACCCAGATGCCTGGACCAGCAGCTGGCTCAGCCTATCAGCACACTCATGAGAGCCTGAACTAGCCTCTCCCACCTCCTTCACAGCCCAATCCAATGAACGCTAGAGGGGCAGAGCAGAGAGTGGTGACTGTGTAGAACAGACTGAGAACTGAGTGATCAGCAGTCATGTGATTGCTCAGTTCTTGGGCTTAGAGCAAATGGGGGACAGCTTCAGCATCACCCCAATTCTGAGCATTTCGGTGAGTATAGATATTTTTTATTTTTAATTTCCACACTTTTCCATTACAGAACAGTAGAGCCATTGTAATGCCTTTCGCATATGGACGATGCTGGAAACTCAAGTGAAGAATAACACTCAGAGATTAACTCTCTCTACAAGAAACCTGACAGGTTACATTATGAGGGTAAAATATACCAAATTATTGGAAAAAGAAATACATTTTAGTCACTAAAGCTGATGTAGAGCCCTCTAGAGTACATAGTTGAGAGTAGTTAGAGGTTTGTTAGAAGCTTGGATTTTAGACAGAGGGTTACTTCAGATCAAGCTGGAGGGCTCTACAGGTCAGTCCTCTGGTACCTCCCCCTGCTCTAGGAACTTGGGAAAGCTTCTAGAAGCCAGTAGGTGGGGGTGAGGAGGGGCTGATCTGCACATTTATGGGAGTGTGACCAAACCCAGACAGAGGGGCCTGGCAGCTTGGCAGACCAGCCCATAAATATGACAGAGTCTGGTCAGCAGGAGTGTTGGGTGGAGTGCTGAGGAGTGCTGCTGTGTAGCCTGGGGGGGTGCGCAGAAAAGGGGGGTTATGCCTCCAGGTTGGAGGAAAGAGGAAAGCTGAAGGAGGGAGCTCCACCACCATGCAGTCCACCAGAAAGGACAGACTACATAGCATGGAGAGGAACCAGCCCAGCAGAAGGCCTGAAAGCAGTTCTATCCACAGCTGCAGGACATGGACAGTGTGAGTACCTCTACACCACCAAGGCCTATAAAGGAGAAGTCTGCTGGAGGCAAGTTCTTGGCAAGTCTTCAGAGTACAGTTTATAATTCCATGTCCTGGGGTAAGATACCGTAGCCAAGTGGGCTGGTATTTTGTTCCCTAAGGGGACCTAGAGCATCTGCAAGATGTCATTTTGCTAAAGACCTTTATGGTTTTGGCTGGAACAAAGCCAAACATCTCCCATTTTTGTTCTCATTTGTTATTCTTTAATCAAGTTGGGCATCCTATAACCCCTTTACCCTATCCAAGTTAAATTCCCTAATAAATACAAAAGACCAAGCCCATGGACTGATTTTTGCATCTGGAAAATGCGTGTTGCCTGGCTGTGCAGGAAATAAGAGGGACCCAAAGCCAGCGTCTCTGTGGGTGTAGCACTATACTATTATTTTTTTGGTGGAGACTTAGAAACTATGCCAGGTTTTTATTACTGTAAGTGTCCTTGGTTGTGGGATTTCCCTAAAGCATATGCCAAGGCAAAAACAAAACAAAACAAATAAACATATGCAGTACATCTCTGCAATACATGCACAGTGCTGTTTCTTTACTTTAAAGGGATATTAAAGGTAAATCTTTTTTATTTTTAATAACAAACATGTCATATTTACCTGCTCTGTGCAATTGTCGCAATCTTCCTCTTCTTAGGTCCCTCACCGGTGCTCCTGGTTCCTCCTCTTCTCCGAATGCCCAAATAGCAAGCTGTTTGCTCTGGGGGCACTCATGCATGCTCGCTCCTGATTTCCATTCTGTGTGTCCATAACACACACAGAATGGGGCTCGGATACGCCCCCACTCTTTCCTCACTGGCTGTGAATGACAGAAGCGGGAAGCAATGACTCCTTGTCTCAGCCAATGAGGAGAGAGAGACCCGGGAGAGCTGAGTCTTCTGTATACATCACTGGATCGAGATTGGGCATCGGTAAGTATTGGGGGGCTGTGGGGGCAGCTGCATACTGAAGGTTTTTTACCTTGATGTATAAAATACATCAAGGTAAAAAAAACCTTCAGACTTTAGAACCACTATGCCCCCTAAGTACAGAAATATATCCGGTGATCTGCCTGTAGTGCACTCAGCTTCTAAGTGCTGTTGTGGGCTTACAACATATGGGGTTGATTTACTAATACCGGAGAGTAGAAAATCTGGTGCAGCTTTGCATAGAAACTAATCAGCTTTAAACCTCAGCTTGTCCAATTAAAGCAGTATTACATCCAAAAGCATCATTTATTATATTGCAGTTTACCAAGTTTTTTCAGAAGCTCAAGCTCTCCAGCAGAATGTATCAGTTCGCATGGATGAGACCACCCATTTACCACTGGCAGGGGTGATTAAAATGATCACCTTGTATTTATCTATTTATGGAAAACCTTTATCCCACAAGGAAAAAAAAATGTTTGCTGTAACTGATTATAAAGTGTGAGCTGGAGTTTGGCTTCAATTTGGTTTTTTGTATTCAAATCTGCTGATACATTTAACACTCCCATTCCCCCATAATGACAATGCCGCTGTCTGCTGTGTCCTGTGCTCATTCCTCCACAGTGGTATCTCACTAGTACAAGAGTTACTGGCCAGATCACCAGGTGAAAACGGGGGAAAAAACAAAGAAAAGAAAACTTATGCAGCCACCACATCTAAGCTGCAATATAATACATTTTTGGTTTTAGATTTAATATGGCCTTAAGCTTTGACAAAATATTCTGGAAGCTGATTGGTTTCTATGCAAAGCTGCACCAGATTTTGCACCCTCCAGTTTTAGTACATCAACCCCATAGTATTTTTGTAAACGGAGTGCTGACAGCCCTCCCAGTTGACTTTTGCTAAACTACTCAATCATTCCCACCCTCCGATCTGAACAACAAAAAGGCTAATCATTCTATAGTTGAAGATAAAAACTAGAAGGTCTAAGGGCTAATTCTAGCCTAATTCTAGGAGATCTAAAGTCTAAGGGCATTACACTGTTTACTTTTTTCTTTTAACCACTTGCCTACCGGGCACTTATACCCCCTTATTTACCAGGCCAATTTTCAGCTTTCAGCGCTGTCGCACTTTGATTGACAATTGAGCGGTTATGCAAGATTGTACCCATATGAAATTTTTATCATTTTTTTCTCACAAATAGAGATTTCTTTTGGTGGTATTTAATCGCTGCTGGGCACTTTACTTTTTGTGCAATAAGCAAAAAAAGTGCAAAAAAAATTTGTTTCTATTATAAAATTTTTCAAACACGTAATTTTTCTCCTTCACTGATGTGCGTTGATGAGGCAGCACTGATGGGCACTGATAGGCGGCACTGATGGGCACTGATAGGTGGCACTAATGAGGTGGCACGGATAGGCGGCACTGATAGGCAACACTAATGAGGTGTCACGTATAGGTGGCACTGATATGCGGCACTGATTGGTGGCACTGATAGGCGACACTGGTAATGGATACTGATAGACAGCACTGATAGGTGGCACTGACTGGCACAACCGCTGAGCACTGACTGGTGGCACTGCTGGGCTGCACTGATGGGCACTGGTGGGTGGCACTGGTGGGCACAGGTGGGTGGCACTACTGGGCACAGGTAGGTGGCACTTCTGGGCACAGGTGGTGACACTGCTGGGTGACACAGGTGGGCGCACTGCTGGGCACAGGTGGGCGCACTGCTGGGCACAGGTGGGCGCATAGGTGGGCGCACTGCTGGGCACAGGTGGGTGCATTGCTGGGCACAGGTGGGCGGAACTTGTGTGTGGCACTGCTGGGCACCGATCATCAGGGCACTGGTGATCAGTGACCCTGATGATCGGTGCCGATCCCCGCTCTGACAACTGCCGGTTTTCGGCAGTACTTTCCTCACGATCTGACAGCATGAGGAAAGTGCAGCCGAGAACCGGCATTTGCATTTTCCCAGTGATCAGTGTGTCATTGGACACGGCTGATCACGGGGTAAAAGGCCGCTGTGATTGGCCTTTTACCACGTCACGTGATCAGCTGTGTCCGGGGCGCGCAGGAGAGCGCGTTCTGGGAGGACGTCATATGACGTCCACCCAGAACTGGCCGGCCGCAGTGCAGCCGTCATTCGGCTATCTGCGGTCGGCAATTAGTTAAATGAACTTTAATGAAATGTCACAGAGACAGTTCATTAAAGCAGAACTGCATACCTCAAACCAAAAGTGCTATTTAATTCATTTTTAAGCAAACTTGTTCATCCATCCATGTCTCCATGCTTTATTTTGCTGAGAAATCACCTAGAAAACAACCCCCTAGTATTTCTGGCCGTGACCATCTTGAGTGAGGGCAGATGATTCATGCAGCATGTACTTCCAGGAATCCATCTGCCCTTAGCTCTGGCATGCAGGCAGGAGGGTGTGCTTAGCTGAGTAAAGCCCTCCTCCCCTCCTAAAGACTCCTGGGATGTATGACATCTTTGCCTAGGCATGGAAACCGGGAAGTAACTAAAGAAGTGTAAAACAACAGTTTAATACGAGTAAACATAATACACTCTCCGATTTCTTAATGCTAGCAGCATAAGGATCCAAAATAGTCAATGTTGGTTGAGAGAGTGGAGTTCCACTTAAAGTTCAAATGCTGGCTGCACCGTGCGAGGTGGTGGATTGCCCCACAGTGCCCTGTGCTGGGAAAAAGTACTGCAAACAATGTGTGAACAAGGCAGGTCGGAGACATGGCATTTTGCCTTGTCATGTGGTGGGACTGTGCTGGAATAGCCACCCAACGCATCTGGTAAGTATGAATCATGGGGCCCCATAGCAATATTTTGATGAAGCCCCCTGCTTAACTCTCTAGCAGCTGGCAGTGTCATCTGTGAGCAAAAAGAGTGGATAGGGCACTTCTGCTCCGCAAACCTTCATCTGAGAGATGTCAGCCCCTGTGATCCAACAATGGACTAAGCACTGTGCAGCACTTCTAAGAGTGTGACGCCATCTCTGTAGTGGAAGCTGATAGGAAGAAGAAGGCGCTTCTAAGTGCAGTAAATCCAGTAACTGTAAATAAACATGGTTTAAAACACTTACAGCAAAGGTAAGGGTACAAGCTCATCTGTATGTCAAAATAGTGGGGCTCCTGTCACTGTGAAAGCAACCCGTAGTGCCGTCCAGCAGCTGCAGGGGGAGCTCAGGGAGTGCTGGAAAGAAGAGCAGCGGTCATCTTTCCATCACTCCCTGAGCTCCCCCTGCAGCTGCTGGCCGGCACTACGGGTTGCTTTCACAGTGACAGGAGCCCTGCTATTTTGACATACAGATGAGCTTGTACCCTTACCTTTGCTGTAAGTGTTTTAAACCATGTTTATTTACAGTTACTGGATGTACTGCACTTAGAAGCACTGTTTTTATTTAACCGCTTCCACGCCGCCCTATAGCAGAAATACTGCTACAGGGCGGCACGAGTGCACAAAATCACGTATATATACATGATTTTGCAGTTCCGGGTAGGACCCTACCCATGCTGTCATTCGCGACCTCGGCTATCAATCACCGGGTCCCAGCCGGTCATACCCGCCGACACCCGGTGATCTCCAAGTATTACCGATGGGGGAGGAACCCGTATGTAAACAATACAGATCTCTCCCATGTCAGCTCCTGCACACTGCACACTCTGCATAGCAGAGCCATACAAAGCAGTGTGCTTACAGTGTAAAGCACACATGGTAAAACAGCACACAGTTAGCCCTTTGATCGGCCCACATGTTAACCCCTTTTTGCCCAGTGCCATTAGTACAGTGTCAATGCTTTTTATTAGCACTGATCACTGTATTTGTGCCACTGACGATGTCAGTGACACCAGGGCAGTTCCCCCCAGTGTCCGAATGCCCGCACCAGTCCCATTATAAGTTGCTGATCGCCGCCATTACTAGTAAAAAGGAAAAAAAAAATTCCAGCATATCGCCATTTGTAAATGCTATAACTTTCACGTAAACCAATTAATTTACATGTATTGGGATTTTTTTTCACAAAGACATGTAGCAGAATACATTTTGGCCTAAATTTATAATGAAATTTGATTTTTAAAATGTCTTACTGGACATGTTTAATAGCAAAAAGTCAAAAATATTGTTTTTTTTTTTTCAAAATTGTCGGTCTTTTTTCATTTATAGCGCAAAAAAAAAAAGCACAGGTGATCAAATACCAACAAAAGAAAGCTTTATTCATGGGAAAAAAGGATGCAAATTTCATTTGGGTCCAGCGTTACATGACCGCACAATTGTCAGTTAAAGTAACGCAGTACCGTATTGCAAAAAATGGCCTTGTAAGGAAGCGGGGTAAAGTTACTGGACTTATTGCAGTTAGAAGCGCCGCCTTCTTCCTATCAGTGTCATCTGTGACAATACATGTTATTGATCTTAACATAAAGTATGTCTAAATCAAGGACAGGCAGCAGGACAGCTGTCAGCGTAATCAGACTAAGGAACAGTGCTGTGGATGAAAGATATATTTGTAGTAACAATATATTAATAATAACCATAATGATGGTTTATATTATGACAGATGTGTAATGTTCTTGCACATAATCCTAATAAAAATGTTTTAAAACTTAATTAAAATGGTTGTAAACCCCTGAAATGAAAAATGAAATAATGTGCACTTGCCTCAACACAAATTACCAAGTGATTTCTGTCTCTTCTCTCATTCCTCTGCTATCTGCATGAGTCTATGTTGACCAGGGGCGGCCTGACCATTTGGAAACTCGGGCACTGCCCGAGGGCCCGGGGTCAGTAGGGGGCCCCATGAGATGCCCCTGGTACCTTTTTCATAGGCTTTTTTGAGTTTGGGCAAGGACACAGGGGCCCCATGATCCCCTATTGCCCAGGGGCCCCATGGGTTGTCAGTTCACCCCTGATGTTGACACTGGGCAATACCAAGAAATGGCCTCACCCCCACCAGATCCCATGCTGACAGCTTCAGCTGTGCATGTTTCCCTATAAGACAGTAAAGAGAGCGATTGTCCCTTCCCTCTACTCAGGTCTCAGCTTACACTCGGCAATATGTTGTGCAGTGGGTAACATCAGAATCCGGTCCCCTGCCTCCTGTAGCTAAGCTGAATTCTGTACTTTGAACCGCCCTAGAGAAGAGAGGATGGCAGATAAACCGGTACAACTTATGTAGGATTTTGTTTTCATCTTTGTGTATCACCTGATGCTAGTCAATTTACTGGGAATATGTTAAGGCAGCCTTTCTCAACCAGGGTGCCCAGGCACCCTGGTGTGCCTTGAGGTTTCTTCAGGGGTGCCTTGGCAAAATGTCTAAAAATTCCCCAATAATTGTATAGAAGCCAGCAGGTGAATCAATAGTGCCTTTTAGTTACACAAAGTCACAGGTTTTCATTTTGCAACATCATGACCTTCTAGACACCGGCATCCCTATAACCAATGACATCATCAGTTGATGAGGAGGATGTCATCTGCCTGCACAGGATCCTAGTTTGACCCTCCCCTACCCCTCTCCATCAGTGCTGGGGTCACATTAGCTCAGTGATGGAGAAAAACTAAGGGAGAGGAGAAACACTGGAATACTAGTCAGTACCAGCATGCAAAAGTATATTTGCTTTGGCAGAATAAATCACCTCTAAAGTTGGGTGCCTTACATGTGTGGATGTTGCTGCGTTATATAGAACTATCAGAATAGGTTTTCACATTTTAGATTGGGGCGCCCTTTTAAAATTATGGACAGTCTAGAGGCACCCCATTTTAGAATGGGGTGCCTCAAGACTGTAAATAATTTTTAAAGGGTGCCTCAGGCCTGTCCATGATTTTAAAGGGTGCCTCGGGCCTGTCCATAATTTTAAAGGGTGCCTCGGGCCTGTCCATGATTTTAAAGGGTGCCTCGAGCCTGTCCATAATTTTAAAGGGTTCCTCGGGCCTGTCCATAATTTTAAAGGGTTCCTCGGGCCTGTCCATAATTTTAAAGGGTGCCTCGGGACTGTCCATATTTTTAAAGGGTGCCTCGGGACTGTCCATAAATTTTAAAGGGTGCCTCGGGACTGTCCATATTTTTAAAGGGTGCCTCGGGACTGTCCATAATTTTAAAGGGTGCCTCGGGACTGTCCATAATTTTAAAGGGTGCCTCGGGCCTGTCCATAATTTTAAAGGGTGCCTCGGGCTTGTCCATAATAATTTTAAAGGGTGCCTCGGGCCTGTCCATAATTTTAAAGGGGGTGCTTCGGGACTGTCCATAATTTTAAAGGGTGCCTCGGGCCTGTCCATAATTTTAAAGGGTGCCTTGACCGAAAAAAGGTTGAGAAACACTGTGTTATGGTACACTTTAATGTTCTGTCCAGATGACCACAAAGGTATTTAGACCATTATTGTTCTATCGACAAGTAAAACAAAGTTTAGAATGGAACTAGCAAAGGAGCATGAATGGACAGCTTGGTAGATATTCAGGGTCTCGTCTGCAGTCTTTGTCACATGACAGGCCGTCAGAAGAACATGCCGAGGTTTGGAAGGTTTATGCATTACAGCAAGCCCTTGGTGCATACTAACGAAGAACCTTTTGCTCTCTTTCAATTACCCTCCTGATCTTCTGCATCTGATTCTGTGGAAATTTCTCATTTGTTTTCTGTACGTTGAGCCAGGCTGGGCAAGGTTCTATGGTGCCAATGAATGTAGGGCGGGGGGTGTATGTTGGAGCCAGTCTCCCTGGTAGCAGAATTAATTCAAATCATTCTACACAAGGCTACCAGAAGGAGCTCAGACTATTTAAAGGCGTGCAAAGATTTACCTTTGTCCCTGCAGAGTTGTACAGACTCCTATCCTGCACTGAAATTGATTGCTCTGATTTCACTGCACACTGTGAGCTGCTCACAATGTGCATTAGAAGCTGCAGCAAGTCAAAGCCTGCCTCATTTCCTGGCTGGAGGCTGTGCAGCATCATCTAGCTCACGGGTGTCA